CAGACTCTCTTGGGGGAGCAGGTATGAATATATATATTTTTTAACTCCCCAGATGATTCCAGGAACCCTGGTAGCATAGTGAGTTTAGAGTTGGGCCACTAACTACAAGGTCAGCAGTTGGAATCTACCAGCCGATCTCGCGAGAAAGATGAGGCTTTCTGCTTCCATAAAGATTTACAGCTTTGGAAAGCCTATACAGGGTCGCTATGAGTCAGAAAAGACAAGATGGTCCAACAAACATCACTACTAGATGATTCCAATGAGCACTCAATGCTAAGAACCACTGCTTTGAATCCTTTTCTGTTAATCTCCTCATTTTATCACAATACAGTTGCTTTTTAGACCAAAGTACAATAATTTGTATTCTCATCTAATTTGTTTTCATCATTCATTGTATTATCTAACCCTCTTAAAATTATGATGAGCTGAGAATTTGATGAACATCCAAAGCATCATTTTTCACTTCTAACTGATGTTTCCTTATACTTATATATAAAAATCCAACTCCCCACCTCCATATTTTTCTGCTGTACCCCTTTATGGAAAAGCCCACTCCCCACCTCCAGTCAGACACTCCAAACATGAAGTAGAATTTATACCTCCTGTATATTCTAACCAGAAAAGAAAATTTTGCGGATCTTTATAATTGTTGCTTGAACTTTTGTTATTTGAAATACAGAATTACTTTAGAATGCTGAGTAAATAATTTCAAAATAACACTGACAATTATGACAAATGTGCCATATTAATATAAAATGTCAGTAAGAGGCACTTTGTGTGGGGTATATGGGAACTTTCCATGATCTTTTTCATATTTCTGTAAATCTAAAACTGAAATAGAGGAGCTCTGGTAGCTTAGTGGTTACGAGTTGGGCTGCTAACCTCAAGGTCAGCAGTTCGAAACTACTAGTGGTTTCATGGGAGAAAGATGAGGCTTTCTGCTCCTGTAAAGGTTTACAGCCTCGGAAACCCTATGCAGCGTCACTGAGTCAGAACCAACTCCACGGCACCACGACCACCACCAAAACTATAATAAAAGGTTTATCTTTGTTAAAAAGTTCAATTTTGATAGTGTTCTCTCCACGCATTATCTTTTATTTTTATTTGTTATTGTACCTTCGGAATAATCTTATCTTCTTTTTCTTTTCTCATTTTTGAAACCTGTGGTTGTTAATCCTACTACCCTTTCCTTCTGGAAAAACTGAAAATTTTTCTCCTTCTGGAAAAACTGAAAATTTTTCTTAAGTTTTCTCTCAGAGTTTCTCAATCTTCCTTTCAACCAGATCCTTTTTTTAATTGGGATTCAGTCCTCAAATTACAATGATCTGAACTTCATTGCATTTATTTTTTAAGTTAAAATTATTTCAAAGTTTTGTTTCAATTTAATAATGGTGACCTTTACAAAACATTAATAAACATTTAGTGAAGTCATGATAAACAGAATCTAATTTAATAGTTACATAAATACTTTAAACATAAAGTTGTATTTTATTTGTCTAAAAGAGAATAATGATTTTAAAGAAGGATTCTCAAGAGCACTGGGAAAAAGTACAAACCTATCACAATCTCTAACAACATGACAGCACTGAATCACTTCATCAGGTTTGATATTTAAAAGCCAAATCTATGCTACACAATTTTACCTTTTGCTGACATTAAATATGTACTGATGCTAGAGGAAATTTGATACATGCGAGGGTTAGGGATTGAGCCATGGATGTCAATAACATATACAGGATGTGTGACATCACTATAAACCTATTGGTAACCTTGGTTTCTGTGAATGAGAGAAGTCATTTTTGTTTGGGAATAAGATATTCACTTCTATGTCACTTTAACTTTCCTTTCCAAACTTATTTTGTATGCTACATGAAAATTCTTTCTAAAAATAGAAATAAAACTCCTTTTCTATTGATGTTGTTGTTGTTAAGGGCCGGCAAGTTGGTTCTAACTCATAGCAACCCTGTATACGGTTTCCGAGGAGTGGCTGGTGGGTTTGAACTGCAAATCTTGTGGCTCAAACTGACCTTGCAGTCCAATGCATTATCTTGCAGCATCACACCAGGACTCCATATTTTCTATTATACTTGAATGAAAATTCTCCTTCCCAGTAAAAAAAATGCAGCATTCATTTCATCAACATGATCTTTTTTAAAAATCATAATAAAAATTCAAAATATCTTATTTAAAAAAATACTTTAAATACACAAATTTTTTCCTTAAAGACATGGGAAAGGTAGGCACATACACTTGTATTCAGTTAATCTTCCTATGGAGTTCTGGTGTGGAGTTATAGGATAAGCACTGGACTGGTAACCACCATTTACGTCCACCCGATCCGCCATCTTGTTTGTTCCTCTGTAACCACCATTTCAAATCCAACAGTTCAAACCCACCTTGGAAATCCTATAGAGGGTCACTATGAGTCAGAATTGATCTGATGGCACTTACCAACACCACCACCAACCTTCCCATGTCTCAGACTCTGAAGATTTAATGCTGTTTAAGTTTTGCTTTTCCACTGATAGTACTTGCTCTTTTGATACTGAGAAACACACATGGCTGAGCCATGAATACCCATAGAAGTTATCTGTTATGCCATTGATTCAAATACAAAATTTGCTCCAATATGCATAAAAAATCCTACCTCAAGAATTAAAATATACATGTTATACTATAGAAAAAAATCACCTGCACCACTGTTTTAAATACTCATAATGAACAACATGGGCCTCTGCTGGCTACCAAGGTAGTGATGAACAGGAATCCATCTCTGAAGGTGGAAAAGTCGCTGCTTTTATCCAGAAGGATTTAGACTCACTTGGGAATTTTTATTGTATGTTTGTTGATAGTTGCAGCTGTAATTCGTGAGATTGCCATAGAGGAAATTCTCCAGCATTAACTATGGATTTAAATGGATCTAAATTCTAGCTCTAGAATTTGACATATTTCAGACCAAATCAAGTTAAAATTTTAATGTTGTTGTTGTTAAGTACCGTGGAGTCGGTTCCGACTCATAGCAACCCTGTACCGGGTTTCCGAGGCTGTAAATCTTTACAGGAGCAGAAAGCCTCATCTTCCTCCTGCAGAACCGCTGGTAGTTTCAAACTGCCGACTTAGAGGTTAGCAGCCCGATTCATAACCACTAAGGTACCAGAGCTATTTAATGTTGTTGTTGTTGTTAATTACCATGGAGTGGGTTCTGACTCATAGTGACCCTGCACAGGGTTTCCGAGGCTGTAAATCTTTATGTGAGCAGAACGCCTTATCTTACTCCCATGAAACCGCTGGTAGTTTCGAACTGCTGACCTTGAGGTTGGCTTCCCGAATCATTACCACTACGCTACCAGAGCTCCTTATCACTATTTAATAGCAACCTTATTTTTCATTGACAAGGGTTTGAGAATAAGAGTTGATAAATTTCAACTAAATTTTTTAAGAGTAATCACTGTGTATACAGAACACAACCTACATTCTTTATTTTATTTGCATTACTAGTCCGTATGAACAATCTGATTCATAAAATGAATTGAGATTATTTCACTGTCTGGCATATACAATCTAGATCTTCAAAGAAACTATAATTCTACCTAGAAAATACTATCTATCCAAGTGAAGACAGCTACCCAGAATCTTGATACATACAAATCTTGTGTAATTATTCCCCAACATTTCTGCAAAGAAAAAATATAGTATTTGTAATTTAATAATGTTGAAATAGTTTTCTTGCTCTAAGCAAATATTAAAATGTATGCTAATGACAGAAAACTAAAAGGTGACATACGTTTCCTCATTGACTGAACAATCTGGTTCGCTGCCACTACAACTCAAGCTTCCTTCTGGTTGCCTCTAATGGGTCTTAGCATGACCAATGGGAATAATCTCTGAGACACTTGGTCCATTTTTCTCAATGCCAACCGGTGGTCAACACTGATCAAGACCTGTAAGGTCTTTGCTCCAAAATTAACATCAAAGAACTTGCAACATACCACAAATCACTCACTCACTCACTCAATCAATCAATCAATTAATGTAGATTAAAAAAAAAAAAAGGTTTACTTCACCATTTGTCCAAAGGGGCGTATTATACCTAAAGGATACCACTGGATAAAAATGCCAATACAGAAGGAATAAAGAATAGTAGCTCATTGATACTAGATTTAATTTTGGGAGTCTCAGTTCATGCATCACATGGTGATGAAGAGTCTTATCAATACCAGTTAATGGGGACGCTATGTACTGAGATCAAAATCACATGTCACTACTTGCCATAGGCATATGTAAAAACAGAAAAACAGTTTACCAACCTCAAATATATTTGAAATAGTGACCCTGCATGTCTCATGAGTTAGTGAATATTTTAGAAGGTACCATCCTTGCCTGTGTAGTACTTTGTATTTTTATGTATTTGTTGCCTTTTCACTTCCTCCTTCTTTCCCTCCCTCCTTTCCTTTCTATATTTTCTTCTTTCCCTCATTCTTTTCTTTTCTTTTTTGAGGAGGTTTAAATTATGGACTTGCATGGGGAAGCATTTTTACTGCATTTTTGGAGAAGCAGATAAGCTGCATAAATTGTCCATATTGCCATTCTAGGGACTAATATGTACATTTTGAACACAGGTTGCCACTGGAAATACTTTCCTTTTCAATCTCCAAATACCTTTCTTGTCAGTATAGTGCAGCAGTGTTTGGAAAGCATTAGCATACCAACAGATGCTCAGAATCAAATGACTTAATAGGCATAAACTTTTTTTCAAATAATTGCAAAGCTTCGGTTTAGCCTTTTTCATACCTTGCATAGTTAATTACCTAGGCCTTCATGTTTACATGCAATGAGAGTATCTACAGCTATAAACTACATAATTTATAATTGATGTAAATGGGTGTTATTATGTCAATTAGGCAGCTGTGTCCTCCACCTCTTGGTAAACAGCTATGAGTGATAAACTGAGTTTGCAGAGAGGTACCTTCTTTTCTTCATAACAGATAAAAATAAATTACCTAGGTAGACCAGGCTGTCCAATTGTTCTCTGGTGAAGTTGATGAGAAATCCAGACCCTTTCTTTTGACCTGTTGACTGCAGCAAATGGTCAATTTCGTCACGCACTGCTGCCATAGCTTCTGGGTGCCGAAGAAGATAATACATCGCCCAGAACATAGTTGGAATAGTGTTTGCTACAGAGGCCCAGAGAAGGGCGAAATGATGTGCTGGGAGAAAATAAGTGAAAAGGAAGATTAATAGCGTTTATTACACTGATTAGATTTGCAGTGTGCTAATTAAAAGATGTTAGGACACAGACCCAGCCAAGGATCAGTGCATGCTAATGAGGACCAATGGGCTTCTGAAGCCTAATTTTCTATTTAATGAGAATAGTTTAAAACGTAATGTGTGGGGGCATGGGAAGTTGGGGGGGGGTGAGATAAAATGAGTAAATGCAGCTTAGTTATACTCTTTCTCATCATCACCATTAAGTATCTTGTTTTACCACCTCAGCAAAAAAAAAAAAAAAAATCAATTATCAGAGTAAAGCATTTTATCATTAGCCAATTAGAAAGAGCATAAAAAATTTTCAAGGTCGCCATTTTGTCTTTTTATTTCAAAGGTCTATTGTAAATTATTTTATTTTAGACAAGTAATCATTCAGAAGTTTCTTACCTCCTATTTCTAAGTCGTCAGGCTCATAGTATTTCTCCAGGGTGTCTTGCCTCATTTGAATAACTTTTGACCATCCTTGCATCTTAGCTAAATTTTCTTGTGTAAAGCGGTTTATAATTTTCTTTTGCATAGATTTGGCATTCCCCAGAAACTCAATGGGTATGCCTGATGCTAAATATGCAAATTTTTCATCAAATTTAATTAAATCATCTCTTAGCTCACTAATAAATTTTTTCCTATCTGCAACAAGGAGTTTTCCATAAAGAGATGTAAATGTGACCTCAAATATTACTGTGGTACAGAATGGTAACATTTGAACTGTGTCCCAATATCTGGAACTTGATAATTTGGATTCAAAAATGTGATTTATCGTCTGGGCCATGGTTTCACAGAGCACGTCTAAAGATTTGCCCTGCAAATACTGGTAACATACATGCAGCTCATGGTCCAGCTCTTGATTCGTTAACAGCCTTTTGATGGAAAATGCATCATGTGATACTTTATTACCAAACATTTTGAAGCTTAATTGTTTGTGATTTTTGATCACTAACTGAAACTGGAAAGGATCCAGGATAAATGTTATATACTTTCCTAAAAGAAATAAATGAGAATGAGTTCATTCAGTAGCAAAACAAAACAAACAACCAGAATTTGAAAAAAAATATTTCCATAAAAATTAGAAAAACTTTAATATAAAACATATGGAAAGTCACTAACTTTAATAAAATTTTATTTCATTCAAGATTTCAGTATATGTCTCCTTTTAAAATGGATGATGGTGGGAAAACTTTAGAAACCAGCAGGCGAATTTCCTTTAAGATGATAGTTTAACACGATATTTCTTTTTAAGTAAAGCACCCTTTACTGAAAGATCCTTTAAATTTTTTTCAGTATCCATTGACTTAACCAATTCTCATATCTGCCCACAATGAAACAAATAGAACAAAGAAAAACAAAACCAAAGTGGCAAGATACTATTTCATTAGTTTTATTTAAGTTTCATAGTTTTTCTCAGACATGGTATCACTTTAGCTTTAGTCAAATTATATAATGCATTAGGAAACAAACCCACTACCATCTTGTCAATTTCTATTCATAGTGACCTACAGGACTGAGTAGAACTGCTTCATAGGATTTCCAAGGCTGTAAATCTATAGATAACATTGCAAAGAATAGGTATCCCAGAACATTTAATTGTGCCCATGAGGAACCTGTACATAGACCAAGAGGCAGTCTTTTAAATACAACAAAATGATACTGGGATAGTACTGATCAGGAAAGGTGTGTGCTAGGATTGTAGCCTCTCATCATACTTATTTAATCTGTATGCAGAGCAAATAATCCAAAAAGCTGGGTTATATGAAGAAAACGTGGCAACAGGATTGGAGGAAGACTCAATAACAACCTGTGATATGCAGATGATACAACCTTGCTTGCTGAAAGTGAAGAGGACTTAAAATACTTACTGATGAAGATCAAAGACTACATCCTTCAGTATGGATTGTACCTCAATGTAGAGAAAACAAGAATCCTCACAATTACACAAATACTTACATCATGATAAATGAAGAAAAGACTTAAGTTATCGAAGACTTCAATTTGTTTGAATCCACAATAATGCTCATGAAAGCAGCAGTCAAGAAATCAAACTATGTGTTGCATTATTCAAGTCTGCTGCACAAGACCTTTTAAAGTGTTCAAGAGCAAAGATATCAGTTTGAGGACTAAGGTGCAAGCCGTGGTTTTTCAATAGCCTCACATGCATGTGAAAGTTGGACAATGAATATGGAAGACCATAGAAGAATTGATGCATTTGAGTTATGAAGGTTCCATGGACTGCCAGAAGAACAAACCTGTCTTGGAAGAAGTACAGCCAGAATGTTCCTTAGAAGTCTGAATTGGGAGACTTAGTCTCTCATACTTTGGACGTGTTATCAGGAGGAACAAGTCCCTGGGGAAGGGCATCATGTTTGATAAAGAAGAGTGTCAGCAAAAAAGAGGAATACCCCCAACGAAATGGATTGGCTCAGTGGCATCCGTAATAATCTCAGACAAAACAATAATTGTGAGGATGGCACAGAACCAGGCAGCATTTCATTCTGTTGTGCACAGGGTCCATATGAGTCGGAACTGACACAACTAACAACAACAACAACAAATCTTTATGGAAGCAGACTGCCTCCTCTCCCTGCTCTCCCCTCGCCCCCTCCCAGAAGTGACTGATGAATTTGAACTACCCACCTTTTGTTTCGAGCCAGGTACTCACGAACAAATACCTAATTTAACATTAACAACAAATCACAAATGCCAGCATTTTCATTTTAATATAGGAAAAATAATGGCTCAGGGAGATTTAATATTTTGTTTAAGGTCACATAAATAATTCGTGATTGAAACAGGATTCCAAATTAGAACCCATTTATTCAATATTTATGGAGATTCAGACACTCCGTTGGACCCCTTCCCTCTTGAGGAAAAAAGCTGCAAACAAATTGTGATATCTGTATGAATAGTGAATAGAGCAGATGTGTGAAAGGGAACAGATAGTGGAATATGTCTCATTCTGCCTGAAAATATCAACAAGTGATCATTGAGAAGGTGCCATTTTGTCTTCGCCATATATCAGCATTGGCCAACATTATCTAATTAAAAGAATCAAGGAGACTGTTAAAAAACAAATCCCTGGATAGTTCTGATTCATAAGGCGTGCTTCTCATAAGGAGGCACACTGAGACAGCTCATACTGTGTTCTGTCACTCAGAGCTGGCAGAAACCTTAGAGATTGCCTCATTCAACTTATGCATTTTCATAATACAGTTGAAAAAGCTAAAGAAAGTCAAGTGGGGTTAAGGGTCAAGGTCATGGTACTTTTTGTATTAGCAGAACCTGGGCAAGAAGTAATTTCCCTTATAGCATTCTTTTCCATTATTATACTCTGCTGGCTTCATCTTCCTACAGTAGGATTTTAACATTCATTCTAAATAGAAGGGTTGTTTTTGTTAAGTGCCATTGAGTTTGTTCTGACTCAGCCACCCTGAGGATCGACTGGTGGGTTTGAATTGCTGACTTTGTGGTTAGAAGTACCGTGCCTGTCTTACAGCACCACACCATAAGTATTATGGAAATATTATTTAATAATGACATTTCATAAACCCATCCTTTCCAAGAACACACATTTAAGACACTAAATAACTAGGTATTAAAGCTTCTAGAATTATTTAAACTTTGCTCTTTACCTCATCATTTCCTCTGTGTGTGTGTGTCATCTCGCTTAGATGAACAAACAGCTTCTTACTTGTTATGCATGGTAACTCAAATGCACCACATAAATTACATTCAATGCCTACAATTAAAATTTTATACAATTTTCAGTTGAATCCTAGAAACAGAATAAATGTCTTTATTTCACAATTTTAAAAGATAATCTAAGTGTTTGTGATATACAAAAGCACATATGCTATGAAATCTTTCTAAGAATGATTCTCTTATGAATTAATTTTTATTCACTGCATTGTCCCTTGGTTCATTTAATAAGGCAGCCCAATCTAGACTAAAGTTAGAAGTGACTATAAAGTCTGGTCATATCCTAAAACTCTCACTGACAAGGTAAACTGGATTTTTTCCCCCCTTTGGGGAGCTCAAAAGGGAATCAACTGGATGTAGGCATATTTTATGATCTCTACTTCACCATAGAAATTTAATGAAATAAAATTTTCAATATCAGCCAGGCAAATAACTGGGAAAAAAGGTCAATTTTCTTATTTTGCCAAAGACATGATTCTAGGCAAAGCTGTAGATTTTCACAGGTGGTGAGTCATACTTTTTTCCTTGCACTAAATGAAAGGGTTTTGGTAAATATCGTGTACAGTTATTTTAAATCACTCACTAAAAATCAGAACGTGTATAAAAGATGCAATTTGTAAAACACACAATCTTTAGAAAATAACGTTGAATTTTTTTTTTTTTTCTCCTACCAACTTTCTATATTCATCCAAATCTAAGTGGAAAGACAAAAACATGTTCGGTCATAACAACATGGGCCACCTGCCATTGGTGCTACTGATGTACATGCTGTGTGCATAGGGAAGTTTTCATTTTGTCTGCAGGTCTTTATAAATTCTCTCTTTTATTTCTTCTTTTCCTCTGTCTTATTCTCACTCTCTTGTACTCTTTGGTGATGAAAATAGGAGCAGAAACCATGAGGTTAATTTCAACTTAAAGGTATATTGAGGAAATAGGCTTTGGAAGAGGCACAAATTATTAAGAGCTCAACTACTAGCCAACAGCTGAAAGGTTAGTGGTTCAAACCCACCCAGAGGGGCTTCATTAGACAGGACTGGAGATCTGCTTCTGAAAGGTCACATCTTTGGAAAGCTTATAGAGCAGTTCTACTCTGGACACATAGGGTCTCCATGAGTCAGAGTCAACTAGATGACAAGTAACAACAAGGACAAAAGCATTGAGGAAGAAGACTTGACTGCAATATGTTTTGTGAGAGCACCAATTATTAATAAATTGTTTCTAAAATTCACATTTTTGTGTGCATAAAAAAAAAAATCACTATTGATTATTTTCAAGCAATTTGTAGATAAAAATTCCCTCTATGTTTCTAAGGCATTTTACTTTCTAGTATCTCTATTTGTTCTTCTTTTAATTTTTTAAACATCGTGGCATTGTATTTTATCTATGATCTTTCTGGCAGAGTTGCATGTTTTTTAGAAGTAGATTCTTTAATTTTCTGGATTTTATTTTTCAAGTGGATTTGGAAGTACTAACAACCCAAGAGATGTTAGCTGGCTTTCCAACTTTTAATCTTTAGTATAAACAATTTAGGCTAAGTTTTTCAAAATTAATATTAATTTAAACCATCTGTCCACCATCTGCTAATGTGAGATGCAAAATCAAGAGTTTCTTTGTGATCCTTAATCAGACAGGGAAACACATACATTCATAAAATGAATTTCAATTTCTTTAACAAAGGAAATCTGCAAAGTTATTCTGAAGGCTATGTGTTCTCAGAGTAAAATTAACTTTTGCTGGTGTGTGGTTTTATGTAGATGAATGCCAAGTGTTAACAGTTATGTTGCATAGTTCACAAAAATCACAAGGTAGAAACAGTATCTTTTGCCATATTTTGAAAAAAGAAAATAATGCTGTCAGCTGTTCATACAAAACAAATATTGATTTAAAGAAGTTCAGTGTTTACATTTGCTTAAAATGTTAATATCAAAATGGAACCCACTTCTGAAAAAATACAATAGAAAATCATCCTTCTCACTAGTAAATTTATGTGACATGCAGTCCAAATTTTAATGTCTTCCTGGCCAATGATTTCATTTCCTTCCCTTTTTAAAAACTGTGTCTAAGATATTAGCTCTAGTATTTCTATATTCTTTGTGGTTGATAAGTGCCGCCCAGTTGGTTCAAATTCATAGTGACTCTACATAAGGTTTCTGAGGTTATAAATCTCTGTGGTAGCAGAAAGTCTTATTTTTCTCGTGAGGAGTGCCTTCTGGACTTGAACCACTGACCTTACAGTTAGCAGTCCAGTGCTTATCCTACAGTGCCACAATTGTTGTTGTTGTTGTTTT